ATTGCACATTACATCAAACCCAGAAAAAAAACTGGCCATCTGCTTGGTAGCAAGCACAATATGGAACTTAGTGATTGAGCAATTTCTATCCTTCGCCTAATTTTTCAAATTTGTTGTTTTGTGCAATAGTTCAACCATAACATTCTGCTCTTTATCCCTCAGGTGGTCAGCCTTATTTCCTGGGTCTGCCTGGATCTAGCTATCCCCTTCATCTGGACCGTCTACTTCATCTACATTCCCAGTGTTCGTCGCGGGGTTGTTGATCTTTTTGGAATTACCAGTATTAGACTGCTCGGCACATCGCCGAATTCTCAAACTGCTGTCAGTTCACAAAACTGGTCATAACTCAGCGGGATCCGTATTTGTGTTTTGTTTATTTATTCAATTGTAATCATGTTTCCGAGTTTTGAGTTGTTTTTGTTATCATAAAGACGTGATTGTACTTAATAAGTAGCATAAATATTCCGTAACTTTAACTGTGTTTTCTAGTCGCACAACGCACGTACTTGGTGAAATACAGGGTGCAGCTAATGCAAAATTTGTACGCCAGACTCAATGCCATGCCGAACTCACAACTGTTGGTCTACACTCCCGTTTAACAAACCGAGTTATCCCTTCTTGACTCGACTTTTATTTGTATTTATATACCGCTATTTGCCATGCGCTTAAGCAAATTTCGCACGAAACACCTAACAACAACGCAAAACAGGAAAAAAGCTTTAACTAAGAAAAAGGCTATTTTAGGCGTAAAAGTAAAACATACAGTGAAAAGATTTCCGAAAGATTATGCACAAATCACTTTTCAAAAGCTGAACGTGCACTTTCCTTTGAAGCGCCTACGATGATAAAAGTGGAAGCCACCTGACGATTTTTCTGTTGGTCGCAGATTGAAAGAATTAAGTTACCGCAGATATTTATTGAAAATAGGTGCGAAAAGCAGCAACATGTTTACCGAGCTTTCTTGTCGCAGGAAGTTGAGATGTGTCAGTTGCGAAAAAACAGAAACTAATCTCAGTGCGCAAAAACTCAATAAGCTAACTCGTTACAAAACTTCTCAAAAATTTTCTTCAAGGACAAGCGCTTAAGATCATAAATCATATTAAAATTTTATCACCGCAAAACTTAAGAACTCTTACATAAAGAAAACCGAAATTCTGAAGTTAGAAAGAAAATCAAAGTAAGACTCACCAATCCATTGCAGTCACTCCCCGGTCATGTATATAAAATTCACCAACTGGTGCCGTAGGGTACCGCAGATCCCATTTTTGAATACCAGGTGTTGCAGCCAGCTGATTGCATAGAATCATCGTGGTGGAGTCGGCAGGCTTCCAGCAAATATCCGCCCAATCGCATCCACTTCCGATCTGTAGTATGTAAAAAAAATTAATATTTCAAAAAAAAATTCACATTGCTAGTCCAATCAACCTAATTACAAGATAAAAGGTAGAAAGTATGGAAGAAAATCAATGCACAAGTTTAAATTTTCTAAGAGCTATGATTAGCTATTTACCCCTGAGTGGAGAATTTGAGATTTTAGCACTAGGAGTACTCCTAGTGAAATGCCTACCTCAGCAAATTCTAAAACGGGGCCTCCAGGTCTTCGCATATCCCAAAGACTGCCACGATGTGCTGATAGGGACACCAAAATGTTATCCATGGAACGATTCCACCGAACTTTTTTCACCTGAAAAAGTTCAGTGAATCTTTATCTCCTGATATGAGATTTCTCCAGGAATGTAGTCCCACAACCCAAAAATAGAGGTAAGCGGAAGGAAAGTGGTAGACAACCACACTTACGATTTCATACCGACCCTCCTAGGAAAAATCATGTATTCATAAGATTTCTAAAAAGCAACAGATACTTAAAAAGTTGTCACTTACCTGATCTGTGAAATTTGATACACCCGGGGAAAATGGTGTC